TACATAGAGAGAGAGAGAGAGAGAGAGAGAGAGAGAGAGAGAGAGAGAAAAGACTTAGCATCATTGTTTTTTAATTGGTTAGTGGATTGTTGACCTCCACTACTAAAATATGAACAACCAGAAAGTAGTTTTGACTTTGTCTTGTTCTCTGTTACCTCCCTGTGACTAGTGCCAAAAACAGTGTTGGGCACATAGGAGGTATTATGTGTGTGTTTGTTTAAAAACTGCACCTGTAAACTTGAGATGACTCTTCTTCCACTGACAAACTCCACAGTTATAAATTAATATGTATGCCAGTAATGGTGGTCATTGATGAGGTTAAATGGCCTTATAAGTTTTAATGTAGAATTTGGGGTCTTTGAACTAACTAGTGGTCTTCATATGCATTCCTGGTTCTGATGTAATCTGCTGACCTATCTTCCACAAGGGGATGTGTAGGGGAAGATGGAACTTCTGTCCATGTGGTGCTGGCCTCAGAACGCTAACTCACTTGTCCATGCTTGTTGTGGTTTCAGCCTGTCCACCTGCCCACTGGGGCCCCAACTGCATCCACACTTGCAACTGCCACAATGGGGCCTTCTGCAGTGCCTACGATGGAGAATGTAAATGCACTCCTGGCTGGACAGGGCTCTACTGCACTCAGAGTAAGCCTTGGGCCTTTGAAGGGTGATTACAGGATACACCCAGGAGGAAGCAGCCTCACTTCATGTGCCGTGGTTGGGCTCACCCAGGGTCTCTGGCATGAACTATGTTGTTTATATGGCGACCTTTCTCTATCCATCCACATGTTATAAGTGGTTAAGACCAACTTTTAAGCATTCTGTCTCCAGATTGTACAGGGACAATGAGGTAGAAACAGGGCTATGTATGATAGTATATGATTTCTTTCTCTTTGCTCCTTTAACCCAGCCATATTTATATGGATGAAATTTTGTGTCATTTATTCTAATAGCACTTGGATTAAGATAAGTAATGAAGATTAGAAAGGTAGTGAAGACAGTAAGACTCACTGCCTGACAAGATGGAGTTCAGTGGTTCTCAGACTTAGCAGGGCTCACATTCACCTAGAAATAACAATGAAAGCAGTATGATGTTTCCCTTCCTAGAGAGCCTGTTTCAACAGATGGGGGCTGAGACCTATGGATTTGCGTTTCTGTCAACTGGCGGTAGTAGCAGCCTGCTACCATGCTTTGAGAAGTATAGCTCCAGTTATTTTTCCCATTTTGCATCCTGTGTTGTGCTGGCCATTTTTTTCTATGAAGCTTTTAGCATCATGAAATGTGATGTGCAAAGCTTGCCACAACTGAGCATCACTGAGGGAAAAACTTGCCCCTCTTTCTTTTAAATTTTTTAAAATATTTTATTGATTTATTTATTTGGTATAGGATCCTGCTAAACTGCTCAGACTTGCAGTGATCCTCCTGTCTCAGCCTCCCCAGAGCTGGGATTACAGGCGTATGCTACCACACCGAGTTTTTGGTGGCAGCACGATGCTGCCAGGCTTCTGGGGCTAGTATGGCATGCAGTACCGAGGATCAAACTTGGGCCCTTGCGCTTGCTAGGCAGGTGCTTAGATTGCTGAGCTTTCTCCCCAGCCCAAACCCTTCTTGCTTTTAGTTGGATAAATGATACCAGATAGAAACAGGTACTATGATTATTATTATTGTTCACATATAATTTAAAATTTTAGCAAAGGGCTAAAAGGAAAGATAGATCAGAAATTAGGTAATTCTTATTTAACACTAATAAGTAGACATAAATAATAGTCTGAACAAGGGAGGGTAGCTGCTTAATCAATATTTGAAAGGGAGAATTGGTAAGAAAAGAGCTGGGCCCTGGTATGTTTTCCAGATATTGTATATCAATAATTTTTTTTTAATTAGGGCTTCCCGGGCCGAGGAGATGGCTCAATGGAATAAGTGCTTCCCTGGCAAGTGCAAGGGCCTGAGTTCAATCCCCAGTTCCGTCAAAAAATAAATAAATAAATCAATTAGGGCTTCCCTCAAGCAGATGACTATTTATTTATTTATTTATTTATTTATTTATTTTTTGCGGAACCGGGGATTGAACTCAGGCCCTTGTGCTTGCCAAGGAAGCGCTTATTCCACTGAGCCATCTCCCTGGTCCCTACCTTTTAAAATAGATATAACATGATATAGTGGAAAGCGCATGAGGTCTGGAGACGTGTGTCCCTATGGCTGTAGTGTAGTTGTGCCTCTGTGCCACTGGCTAGCATGTATGTTCGGGTACTGTCTACAAGATGCAGATATCCATCCTTGAGCTTCTGGGCTGCTCTGATGATCAAATGAGAGCATTATAATAAGAACCTGGCACAGAGAAAGTGCTAAATGAGCAGATGAGGTTCAGGACACAGTTATTTCCTGGCATCTGCGTCCTGCCTCTGCCTATTGGGCTTTCATCATAAGAAAACAGGAAAATAAAAGGTTGTGCATTATTTCGGCACAACCATTGCATCAGGCTGAGACCATGAAACTCTCTGCAGCACAGCTGCTGGCCCATGTAAACCAGCAGAGCTTGTGTGCATCTGCAGCACAAGGGTCCTCAGGCTTCAAAATCATTCAGCAGTGTACATAGAGCCTTGTTACTTTTTTCAAAGCACCTGTGAAGCAGAGTTGTTGCTTTTTAAGGTAAACATCAGCCACAGTGGTGGAAGTGATGACATTATCTAATAACAGGCATAGCAGACAAGTCCAGTCGCAGAGTTGGAGGCATCCCCTACTGTAAGCAAAAGCATGCAGGTAACTTTAATATAAAGTACTCATTTCAGTCTAGGAAAGTTGAGTCTAAGTAGTTGAAGGAAAGATGAAAGAAAATGCCCCAGAGTTCCCAGGCTTCAAGGGTACTTTGTTGGAAGACACTGGTCTTGCCCTTAAGGGTACCCACAATACTTACACTGACTGGTATGGGACTCTTCAGCCTTCTGCTTGTGAATTACAACCTTTTTGCAAGGCCCTATATTGGGACTTCTGAGAAGACCTGTGAGAAGCTGAGATATGCCCTTTGGTCTTTGTTGTCAAATGGTTTAGTATCCTTTAAGTTTCAACACAAATACATTGGAGACTGGAGATGTGCTCCTCTTCAGCAGCCTCTCACTTCTGCTGTCCCCGCTCTTGCACAGGATGCCCTCTGGGGTTCTACGGCAGGGACTGCGCACTGATATGCCAGTGTCAGAACGGAGCGGACTGCGACCACATCTCTGGGCAGTGTACCTGCCGCACAGGCTTCATGGGCCGGCACTGTGAGCAGAGTGAGTGTGGCTGCCTCGTGGCACGTGCAAGGTTTTTCCCCCCTTTAAAATCAACTTTCCTGGATTTCTGGGACTATTAAGGCAGAATTACTGCAACATTTAAGTTGCAGGAGGGGATGACTGATTACTTACTAGCGCGGTGGATTTTCCTCCCAGGGGCCTGCCTCTCTTGAATCCCATTTTTCTCTCCAGATACTTCTTAGTAATTAATTGCTCAGCACTGGGTGGAGGAGGTGGCAATGCCAGAAAGAAGGTAAAATTCAGGTTTTCCATTCCAGCTTTCTTCTTGGCAGAGGGGATCCAGGTTTACTCCAGCAAACAGGGCATTAGGTGGGAGGAGGCTGAGGGTCTGGGCTCCGCCCCATTGCTGGTGTGAGACCAAGTCCTTACAAGTATTATTCCCCCGTTGACAGCCTTCTCTAGACAGAACTTTTATACTGTTTCTAAGTAACAACTTTTCATCTTAGTCCTGACTTTCAAAATTACCTTTCACAAAGAATACACTCTACTGGAATTATCTGCCCTTGTTTTTCCATTTCCACTCACCTGCTATGCATGGTGCAGAGGGTTAGCCGTAAAGTGAACGCTTCAAGTGAACTCCTTATTGCTTTCCTCTTCAGTGAATAAATAAGGGCTGTGACTTGTGTTGGTCTCACTTTTTTATGGCAAAGGCCGTGGAAGCAGGGGAAGCTCCCCCAGGGTGTGTCCCTGGGAAGGTACCACAGAGCTTAGTAGCTGCAAGGGGCAGTGAAGCTGTCCTCCCTCCACACCACTGTACCCCAGAGCTCTCGGGAAGCCAGGTTGTCTTAGTAAGTCCTGTGTGCTAAACCCTATCCCACCTCAGTAAGTCTTCCCACCAGCAAATGCACCGAGAATAACACACAGGAATTAGCTTAAGACAAAAAGAGCCCAATATTAGTTTTGCATTGTTGTTTCATTTAATTATAAAACAGGTACTGAATCATATGATTGCATGCATGGCTTTCTTTGTGCATATGTCCAATGACTGGTTAAGGTTTTATTAAATTAAAATGTCTTACACGCTTCTGTGATTACTCTGAACATCAAATTTGTCTGTATTTTTGAAGATTTGTAAACAGAACCCCTGCGCAGGTCAGAGAACTCTGATGATAATAGCATGTTGCCCCCTGCTGCTCACTTTATGAAAAACACCAGAATTTTGCCCTGAATGTTTTTAGAGTCATCCTATCTATACTATTCTTTGACATGCAACGTGTAACTCTCATTTCATAAGCGTCCTGTTTTAGTCTCTGACACTTTAAACTGAAAATCCAAAGTTGAAATTATTGTAGGGAAAATGAAATTCTTATCTAGAAAATAAACAAAACTTACCCTCCTCTTCACCTGCTCACCTAATTCAGGTGAGAGTGTATCTTTAGGAGGATACCTGACCCCTAGTAGCACACTATGCGTATTCTAAGGAAGCATCTCTCTCTCTCTCTCTCTCTCTCTCTCTCTCTCTCTCTCTCTCTCTCTCTTTTTCCAGTACGAGGGATTGAACTCAGGACCCTGCGCTTGCCAGGCAAATGCTTATTGTACAGAGCTATCTCTGGTCCTCAGGAAGCTTCGCTTACTGACGCTTTCTGCCTAGTTCCCTCCCAGCCCACAACTTTTCCCTCTGTCAAATTGCTCTGCATAATTATCCTTACCTATTCCACGGGAGCTCAGCACACTGTGCACATGTCAGAGAAGTGCGCATTCAGCTGTGAATGTGTCAGGAGCTGTGATGTTAAGCCACACAGCCTCCATCCCTGTGCAGCCTGGACTGAGAGACCCATCCCATTGCAGGGGATGCTGTGTAGCTTTGGGGCGCCCTGGGTAGTACAAGTCTGTCTCAACAGGAATCATCCAAAAGGGCTCATCTCCAAATGTGCAGGGCATGCAGTAAGAGAGTGTTGTCCGGGTCCCCAAGACCATGCAGCTCCACTGACTAAATTTCCTTTTTCAGAGTGCCCTGCAGGGACCTATGGCTATGGCTGTCGCCAGATATGTGACTGCCTGAACAACTCCACCTGTGACCACATCACCGGGACCTGCTACTGCAGCCCAGGATGGAAGGGAGCACGATGCGATCAAGGTGGAGTATACAGCAACTGCTAGCTCTTCTTGTGTGACTGCCATGTCATGAGTTATGTGATTTTGTTACCCAGTGTCATCATTACCATCTGCATGGCATAGATGGCAACTTAATTTAGTTGCAGGGGATGCCTTAGTGATGCTGTCCTACAGATAAAGAAATTAAGGTTTGGAGAGGTTCTGTAATGTAGTTTGCCCAAGGTCATGTAGCTATTAGATAAGCCATGTCACACCTTTGATGAAAGATTTATTCTCAAACTCATGAGCTTCCAGTTGGGCTTATGCTTTTTTTTTTTTTTTTTTTGCTTTATTGGTATGTAATTAGCATGCAACATACATAAAGTATACAATTTGATGAAATCTAAAATATGCATGTGCTCATGAAGCCATTACCATAATTATGCCAATATTCACCCCCGGTGAGTTTCCTCACTTCCCTCCCAGCCACTACTATCTCTTGGCCCCCAGCAATCTCCGATCTGCTTTCTGTCACAATAGATTAGTTTGTATTTTCCAAAATTCCATATAAATAGAATCATACTGTGTTCCTTTTTGTCTTGCTGTTATGTCTGTTTGTTCAGTCAGCAAAATTATTGTGAAATTAAACTATGTTGTTTTAGAAATCAAATTTAGTTCTTCATGTTGCTAAGAACTATTCCATTTAGAGGTATACCATAATTTGCTGACTCATTCAGATGTTGGGGGGCATTTGGATTCTCATCTTTGACTATTACAGATTAAATTTCTGTCAACAATAGTGTACTTTTCTTTCTATGGTTTGTACTTTCGTTTCTTTTGGGTAGCAGTAGAATGAGTCATGTGGTGGGCATTTGTTTAGCATTTTAAGAGGATTTCTCCCTTGGTTTTTAAGTAGGATGTGTGTCACAAGCACTGGGGAGTATGTGTTACATACACTGTCTCACTTGAGCAGTTCTGCACGTGGGGTAGACGAAGGCTTTGAGAACGTCTTCTTGCTCGGTCTGAAGCTGCCTTCCAGGATGGCAGTGAGCAAGCGAGCAATAAAAGGCTTAGGAAAATTCCTACAGTGCGTAGGTGGGGTCATCTTAAACTGAGGACCATGTAAGCCTCATATTACTATGTTTAAATTCTTTCATAAAATAACTTTTGCATGCTCATTATTTTTATTTGATTGCAATTTCAATTAGGAGTTATATTTTGTGATTGTCTAATTATCACAAATGCATTGTAGTCTCACAATGGTAGCCTCAGTGCTCTTGTTTCCTGGTCGACGGTCCTGTAATAAAATCTTCTAGAATTGAAAAACCACAGGATCCCAGATCCCAGAGGTATTTATTTGAGCTGAAAGCAGCTACATGGAAGCCCTTCCCATCATATATACATGCAGCTCCAGAGCTCTAGGAAAAGTTCAGGTGCTTAATTTCTTGACTTTCTATTGCACCCTTAGCTTCTTTGCTTAATGGAAGAACTGTGTAAAGTCTAGTTTTGAGTTTAATTAGTAAGAGTGTAGGGTGTTATTGAGTATTTTCATAAGAAATGTGACTGTCTTGAAAATTAGCTTTTGACAGGACAATGTCTTCTGAGGTTAAAAGTGCATTAGAATTAGCTAATGGATTAGATTTCTAATGGAGCTTTTGGAACAATGATCACTTTTAGAAATACTAAGGATAAATATAAGATTAATTCTGACGGTGAACATTCAGAATTTATTCCCATACATGCTCAGTACTGAATAATAAAGCAAAATAAAAAGTAGATCGATAATTATACCAAATTCGTCATCCCTCTGAGTGTTAAACCTAAGATCTTTAAGAAGTTTGCAAGCACTCATGCTGAATCTTAGATTCAGATCATGCATTTTTTTTTTCTCCAGTACTGGGGATTGAACTCAGCACCCTGCATTTACCAGGCAGGTGCTTATTCTGCTGAGCTATCTCCCCAGCCCTAAATCGAGTAGCTTTTTTTTCCAAATAGAGGAGGAAGCACCCAAAAGTGTAAAATGTTTGTTTTTCTTTCCTATTCCATTTCCGAAGGCTTCTGAACTAACATTTCGTGAGCTGAGAATATCAAGGCATTAGCATGGTAGATTTTTGGTAAATAGAGATCAAATACTTACCTCACGCACTGTCATGCATACTCACATCTCTTTTCTCCTTTATCCCAGCTGGCGTGGTAATAGTTGGGAACCTGAACAGCTTAAGCCGAACCAGCACTGCCCTCCCTGCTGATTCCTACCAGATTGGGGCCATCGCAGGCATCATCATCCTTGTGCTTGTTGTTCTTTTCCTCCTGGCCTTGTTCATTATTTATAGACACAAGCAGAAGGGGAAGGAAACAAGCATGCCAGCAGTCACCTACACCCCTGCCATGAGGGTCATCAATGCAGATTACACCATTTCAGGTCAGCCTGGCATCCCGTCCCGGGAGGGTATTGACTCCTTGCAAAGTGAGTCTTGCTGCTTTGCCCTCTCTCACCCTTGTCTATTCTCCTGGGGAAAACTTTTTAGAAAAGGTATAAATTGTTGGAGATGTTTTACATCTTAACATAGTAAGATCATAACTATGTTGCTACAATTTTTGTGAGGATTTTAAAAAGGGCCTCATTGTGAGGTTGTTTTGTATCTAGGGAATTCCAGACGAAAGTTTTGACTTATGTGAGGCAGGAGGGAAGGAGCTTGGACTCCCAAGTTTTCCAAGGTCACAGCCAACCAGGGAAACAGAAACCTCTCCTGTCTCTGCCTTTGGTGTTTTCTTCAGTGCCTCCTGCCCCAATACAAGTCATTAACTGAAAATAATCAAATTATATAAGAAAGGCCTTTCTGAGGGCCAGCAAGATAGCTCAGTGGACTAAGCACCTACTTAGGCAAGCTCAGGTACCCTCAATCCCCAGTACCACATGCTGTGCCATCCCCACCCGCGGGCACACTGAGCCAGCCATCAAGACCTGGGGTGTGATGGCACATGTCTGTAATTCTAGTGCTGGGGAGGCTGAAAATAGGAGGATCACTACAAGTCTGAGGCCCCATAACAAATACATGAAAGAAAGAAAGAAAAGAGAGAAAGAACTTTCTGGAATTATCATAACCAAAGAAGCCCTTGAAGAAAGCCCTTTTTCATCTTTTCTATCTTGAGTCCTCACAAAAGAAAAAGAAGATTGTAAGCAGCACATTCAGTCATTTGAAGAAGTAAGGACTTAAGCTGAAGAATTTGAAAACTGAAAAACTTAATTCCTTTTGGGGCAATTGCTAAAAGATTTTCAGGCTGGTTACATGTTTATAACTGTTATGATTCTGAGGGACATGTAAAGTAGCTGATTTAAATAGTTGTATATTTGCAGCACAAAGTTATTGTGTCAAGAAACCAAAAGTTGTCTTTCTTAAAGAGGTCAGTTACAGCAGCAGTAATTCAGAGGATGCCACCCGGGCTCTTATACACCCCAAAGCTAGGAGTAGCTGTTTGTATACTTTCACTTCCTAAGGAGGTGGGTAGGGGGGCAGTTGCCTGCTGCTGCTGCTGCTGCTGCTGCTGCTGCTGCTGCTGCTGCTGCTGCTGCTGCTGCTGCTGCTGGGAGCTGTGCTGAGTGAGCTGTGCAGGACCGGTTGCACCCAAGCTTGGTATATAGAAGTAGTGCAAACATTCATTTTGTTATTTTGATTTCCTTTTACCCACATGCATCTAGGGGAGCCTCCCATGTTAATCACACCTTTCCCTTCCTGCAGAAACCCTGCCCCACAGCAGTGGAAATGTCAACAGCCACTACTTCACCAACCCCAGCTATCACACACTTACTCAGTGCGCCACATCCCCGCATGTCAACAACAGGGACAGGATGACCATTGCCAAGGTAAGAGGAGATACCTCGAGTCTCAGAGGGGGGGAGAGCGAGCGAATGATGAAGGCTGCAGCTTGCCTGTGCTGCTCTCAGTACTTCGCATGCCTCGCCTACTCAGTCTCTCTAAGCAGTGCTCTGTATATGGCAACATCTCAAGGGTTAAGGATGAAGAACTCAGAAATGGGAGGTTCAGTCTCTCCAAACTGCTGGCCTCTGCCCAGTGAGGTAGCTGCTGTGTGAGACTCTTCCTTTCTCATACAGTATATGTCATTTGCATCATGCCTCCTTGGAAAATCTTTTTAACTTTATGTGAGAATTTTTTAAAATAAAGTATCATAAGGACATTAATAAAAACATAAAAGATATATAGCAGAATCAACCCTGTATAAAATCATTGTCTTTTCTGATCATATGTCTTCTGTTACCCTTTCCTATTTGTACTTGAGTGACAACAACGATAATAATGTACTCATTTAGATTGACTCATATGAAATTGCCATTTTTGTAGGTCAAAACCAGTCAAAAAACTAATCATTTTCCAAGTATACAATAATTTAATCTTCATGCCAATCAGGAGTGATTATTATTATTCCCATTTTATAGATCATGGAATGATACACCCACAGGCTAGAGACCCAACTAGAGCTCCCCACAGTGTTCTGAACCCTAAACACCTTCCCCTCCCAGTTGTACCCCAATTACATTTTCAGTTTTCTGTGAGTGGCTCCCCATTGTCCATCTCTATTAGAATAAAACCAAGCTAATTAACTTAATCTCATTGTCATTAAATTAATACAGCAGATTTTAATTATAATGCCCCATTGTTAAATGGCACTTCATGTTCTCCAGGGACTAATAGCCACAGCACCATTTATTCTCATGCTAATCAGGAAGGGAGGCGAAGTAGATCATCCCACCCTTAGGCTGGTCTAGAGTCAGAAGCGCTCACTTTGCTGAAATCTCTCTTTCCTCTGGGAAACTGCTGAGTTACCTGACTCACACTAGGTCACGCAGTTTGATCAGAAAGCTTAGATCAAGGCCTTATGTTTTGCTTCAGTTCAAAGTTCTGCATATGTAAGCATCGATAGAGTTTCACTGGTGCAAGGTAACAGAGTAAAATGAAGAAATGCAAATCCTAAAGGCATGAATGGCCCAGAGGGACCTACATTCCTTCTGCCTTCCAGGAAATGTCACCTCAGCCCCTTGCTCAGCCCCTGTGAGCTGTGGACTCTTCCCTGGTCAGATAACACAGTCCCGTATAACACTGTATTCTCATTTTAAATCTTTTATCATTTTTGTTTTGAACAGTCAAAGAACAATCAGCTGTTTGTGAATCTTAAAAATATGACTTCGGGGAAGCGAGGCCTACCTGTGGACTGCACGGGGACGCTGCCGGCAGACTGGAAACACGGGGGCTACCTCAATGAACTCGGTGCGTTTTTCTTGCAGGACTAGAGCACACTGTACCTGCTCCTCACTGACATGGTTGGAGGGCCGTGCCTGTGTCACAGGGTCTGCAAACATGCACAGAAAACAAAATAGCAGAATCACATCTGATACTTACGATAGGGCTTATTGCCATTCTAAGTGCTCTACCTGTGTAATCAACATTTATTGAGTTCCTACTATCATCCAGGAAAGGATAAAGAGACAAATGCATCTGCCTGCCTGTAGCTTACATTCTAGGTCTACACAAATTAAAGTCCCTTAATTTCCACAAGTAAAGGACTCCACTGGGCACTTGTATTAGAATATTAGAATCATCACCGTCTCCATGTGATAGTGGAGAAACTTACTCATTAAGACCTAGAATGACTTGCAGAAGACCTGGTAGCTTATAAAAACTTAAGTTGGCATTTTAACCTTGTCAGTGTGATGCCAGACTGGGCTTCTCTGTTTTGTTTTGGAAGCAAGGTGTTTCCATGTAGATCAGGCTGGCTTTGGATTTACTATGTAGAAGACAGGCCATGAGTTCATGATGATCCTCTTGCATTAGCCTTTTGAGTGCTTCTTCATTCTTTTTTTACCTTCGGGCATCACACTTGACATCACTCCAATTTTAGATGAGGCAATGGAGGAATCAAAAGGAATATTGATCTTCAGAGTTTTAAAAATTGGGATACAAAAAGAAATTGGGATACAGTGATGTTCTTAAAAATTATTGAAGATTCCAAAGAGCCATATCTATTGATATTTACCACAGTATAAATTAAAACTGAAAACATTTTAAAATAATTGTTTAATAGCAACCTCATTCAGAATATCACAAACATTTTATGAAAAATAATATTTGTCTGTAATTAAAAACTTATCAACAAAGAAAAGCCCAGGTCCTGATGGGTTCACACTGAATTCTATAAGAAATTCAGAGAAGATTTAATACTAACTTCTCAAACTGCAATAAAATAGAAGTGGAAGCAATGCTCCCTGACTTGTTCTTGGAAGTGAGTATTACCCTGATACCAAAACCAGAGAAAGACCCACTCATGAAAGAGGAATACAGGCCAACTTCCCTAATGAACATAGATGCAAAAATCCTAAATAAGATACTAGCCAACAGTATGTAGCAAATCATTAAGAAGATTATACCGTTACCAAGTGGGATTCACTCCAGGAATACAGAGGTTGCTCAATATATGTCGATCAATAAATATAATATACCATATCAACAGGGTCAAAGACAAAATTCACATGATCATCACAATAGATGAGAAAAAAGCTTTTGACAAATTCTGACACTCATTCATGATAAAAGCCCTATAGAAAACTGGAAAAAAAGGTCTTTACCTCAATCTGATAAAAGCCATCTATGACAAACCAACAGCCAACATCATAATAAATGGAGAAAAAATTAAAGATTTCACTTTAAAATCAGGAACAAGACAAGTATATCCATGGTCACCACTCCTATTCAATATAGTTCTGAAAACATTAACTAGAGTAGTTACACAAGAGTGAAAAATAGAAGGAATGAGGATAAGAAAGGAAGAAGTTAAATTATCATTTGTAGGTAACATGATACTCTACATAGAAAGTCCACAAAACTGCACCAAAAGACTTGTAGATTGAATAACCATATTCAGTTATCATATGGATACAAAGCCAACATTCAACAATCAATAGCATTCCTGTAGATAACAAACTTGCTGAGAGAAATTAGGAAAACTACACCCTTCACAATAGCATCTAAAATAGTAAAATACTTAGGAATCAATCTAACAAAGGGAGTTTAAAAAATCTTCATATTGAAAATTATAAAGGGCCAGCCAAACAGCTGAGCAGATTAAAGCACCTGCTTAAGCAGACACAGGGGCCAGGAGCTCTATCCCTGCATCTGGCGAGCTAGCCCTGCCCCTGGGGCACGCTGTGACTGCCATTGAGACTGGGCATGGTGGAGCACACCTGTAATCCCAGCACTTGGAAAACTGTAAACAGGAGGATCACTATGAGCCTGATCTATGCAGTGAGACCCTGTACACTCTGTCCTAAAATACAAAAAAAAAAGGAAAAGAAAATTACAGTATTGTGGAAAAGGAGATCAAAGAGAATTTCATAAAATAGAAAGGTATCCCTTTTTCTTGGATAAGATGAACCAACATTGTAAATGCCCATACTCCCAAAACTGTTATACAAATTTAATGCAATCCTGATCAAAACACTATTAACATACCTCACAGAACTAGAGAAAGTATTCCTTAAAATTCATTTGGAAACTGAAGAAACCTAGAGTAGCAAAGGCAATCCTGGGCAACAAAGGTAAGGCAGGAGGCATCACAATCTCTGTCTTGAAATTCTACTACAAAGTTACTACGATAAAATCAGCATGGTACGGGCAAAAAAGAAAATAGAAATGGATCTGATGATCAGACATACCTCTAATGTATTCAGCCATCTTACCTTTTATAAAGAGGCCAAACATGTTCCATGGAAGAAAGATAGCCTCTTTAACAAATGGTGCTGGAAAAACTGGCTCTCTACAAGCGAAAAACTAAAACTAGATCCATGTCTATTGCCATGCACCAAAGTCAAAATGGATAAAAAAAAATCTAAATATTGAAATAGAAACAATTAGAAATCTTGAAGACAAAGTTTAGGCAGAGAGTTCATGAACAAAACTCAGGTTTCAGGGGAAATACTTCAATGAATCAACAACGTGGATCTCATCTTATCAAAAAAAAAAGCTTTTGCACATCAAAAGAGATCACCATAGAGTAAAAAGACAACCCACAGAGTGGGAAAAAAATTTAACCAATCATCACTCAAAGGACTTCTGTCTAGAACATATAAAGAATTGAAAATATCAAACTGTGCAAATTCAAAGATATCCAAAAATGTGTATCTGAGATAAATAAAAATTTCTCAGATGAAGAAATACAAATGGAAAATAAATGAAGAAAAGATGTTCAACATCATTGGTCATTTGAGAGACAAATATTAAAGCAATACCGAGATTTTATTTTACCCCAGAAAGAATAGCTGTCATCAAGAAAGCAACCAATAACAAATGCTGGATGGGCTGCAGGGAAAAAGGAACCCTTCTCTGTTGTTGGTGGGAGTCTAGACTAGTACAAGCATTGTGGAAATCAGTGTGGAGAGTTCTCAGAACGCTAGGGTTGGTATTCCCATTCAACCCAGCTATGTCTCTCCTCTGTATTTATCCAAATGAACTGAAAACATCAGACCACAGCAACATATGTGTGCCCATGTTTCTAGCAGCACAATTTGTGATAGCTAAATCTTGGAAACAACCCAGATGCCCATTAACCAGGAATGGATGAAGAAGATATGATCTTTTTATACAATGGAGTACTTACTGAGCTATAAAGAAAGATAAATTTGAGACTTTTATAGGTAAATGGATGCAACTTGAGACCATACTCCAAAGTGAAATAAACCAGATTCACATGTATAAACATTGCGTTATCTCCTTGGTATGAAAAACTGAATGAGTAGGAAAGTCTAAAATGTACAATAGAGGGCTGGAGAGATAGCTCAGTAGAATAAGCGCTTACCTGGCAAGCACAAGGTCATGACTTCAATCCCTGGTACCACAAAAAATAAAACTAAATAATTAAATAAAATAAAATGTACAATAGATACTGTGAAATGGGGAACAAAATTGTACAAAAGGAAAAGAAAAAGTAGGATGGAGGAAAAGAGAAAAGATGGAAGGGAATAGGGAAAAAAAATAAGTCAGTTATCTACAGTGTCTCTTGTGCTAATATTGTTTGGAGACATTTTAATGCCCATATCTTATATTCTAAATAACTACTCTAAAGATAACAATAAGGGCCCAGGAGATGGCTCAGTAGAATAAGTGCTTGCCTGGCAAG